AACGTTTTAAAAGATAAAGGATTATATTACTGCAAAGTTTGAACACAGGTTAATTAGTGTACGTCCCATCACCTTCCAAATGGGGCAATAGTACTTTAAAATCTTCAATTGAAATGTATATTGGTGATCATGTAACATACGAATGTCCATCATGCTCAATAAAGATCAGTTGAACATGATATTTTAGAGTGTTATACAAATCATTTCGGCAAACATTTTCTTACTAATGCACAATGTCGACTTGCTTAGTAAAAAAATGACTATTTATATTAATATTAAACATTTACCCAATTATTTTTGCTAATCATCAGGTGTCCAGAAATTTTTTGTAGGGGTGTATTACTTAGATCTGCGGAAAATTTTCCTGTGACTACTAATATAAGTTTCCTGGGGCTTGTGTAATGGCTTCCCAGGATTTTATTTAAAATTCTTCGACTTGCATAAGTCATAAGTTCAAAAAAGGATTTTTTTTAGAAAATATCTAAAGATACCCACTGGGTAATTTACCTGGATCATGTGTTTGTGCAACTTAACATAAAAATAACTTTTTTTCATATTTATACATGACATAAAAAAAAATAAACTTTATTCTTTATAATTTCACCTTCAATAACAAAAATGTCACAAAATTTACACTCATTTGATTTTACTGATAAGTTGAATCTGGAAGAAGGACTTACTTTCATTTCGTGGGAACAGGCAAAATTATTTTTTGATAATTTTGCATTACAAGAGGGTTTTACATTCTTTAAATCATTCAACTAATAATCAAACTGATGATATTTCAAACCCTATTATTACAAGACATAAAGGAAGGCCACCTAAATGACTTAAATCAAGACCAGAAAACCATTAAGCGAACAAAAAATATGTGAAGGTGGTGAAAATTCTAACATAAAAGGTCGTAAATGTGGAAAATGTAGACATGTATGGATTGAATAACTTTTATTTATTAATGTATTACTTTCAACTGTAATTTATAGTCATGCTATGAATTTAATATTAGGCTTATCTAAATTATTGTTTATAAACACTTGGGTGTCTTAATATGTCGCATTTACTAGTTTAAATGGTTGTGGGTGTGGGTAAAGAATCATAGATATTTGCAATTTGAATCGTTATTAAGTATGTAAAATTGTATTATTTTTATAAATAGATTCTATATGTTATGCTTGTTTGTAATTATAATAAATAAACGTAAAAATTTTTATGCCGATCTTTATTATTTTAGTAATGGTACCACCTGGGTATTATACCCACCGGGCATGAATAGTAATTCTCTTTTTTTTATTTACATTATTTACATTTCAATTTAATAAAAAAAAGAACTTTGGTTAAATACAAAAAGTTATTAAAATGAATCAAAGCCCAACGATTTATGTGCTTATTAAAAGAACAGACGAAGTTGATTGGGCAACCCCTCTCAAGAAATATATTCAAACTACCTATCAAGAAGATCCTGAAAAATATGCCGATGAAGCTAATGCTATTCATCGTTTAAGACAAGATATGAGAGGTGCGGGCAAAGATGTAACTGGTAGAGATTTATTGTATCGGTATTACGGCCAATTGGAATTGCTTGATTTGAGATTTCCTATTGATGAAAATCACATTAAAATTCCTTTTACATGGTATTTAATATTTATAATTTAAAAATATTATTATTTAATAAAATGGTCATTTTCTGTTTACATCTCATTATTTTTATTTTATTTTAAAGGTATGACGCCTTTACACACAAAGCAACTTCTCAACATTCACTTGCATATGAGAAAGCTTGTACCATTTTTAACATTGCAGCCAATCTATCTGCCATAGCTGCTTCTGAAAATTGGTCAGAACAAGAAGGGTTTAAACGATCTTATAATTTTTTTCAAGCATCAGCAGGAATGTTCACCTATATTAATGATAATTTCTTGCATGCTCCTTCAACTGATTTAAATCGTGACACTGTTAAACTATTATCACAATTAATGTTATCACAGGCTCAAGAATGTATGTTTGAACAAAGTTTATGTTCAAAGAAAAAACCAACTTTAATTGCCAAGTTAGCTGCTCAACTTGGATGGTCTTATGGTAATATTGTTGAAAATATGGCTGACCTTATTTCAAAAAGCACATTTGATAAAAGTTGGTCAACTGTTTGTCAGGTATATAATGTTTTTAACATTAAAAGGCTTTCTTTGTTTTTTTTTGTTCATTTATTTGATGAAAAAGCCTAAAAATTTTATTTGTTATTTTACAGATTAAACACAAATATTATTCATCAATTGCACAATATCAAAAGGCATTGGCTTGTGAAGCAGAAAATAAATATGGTGAATGTGTTGGTCGTTTGAATATTGCAGAAAATTTTGCAAAGGATGCAAACAAACTTGGCAATAATTTTGTTTCATCTTTTTCTCCAACAAACACACCTACACTACCCCCTGAAGCTGCAACTTCTTTACAAGATCTAACAAAATCAAATCTTGCTCTTGTTACAGAAAAAAAAATTTCTGCAACTCGTGATAATGATTTAGTTTATCATGAAGTTGTACCACAAGAAAGTATTATTTCTCCAATTGAAAAGGTGAATGCTGCAAAAACCATTTTAATTTCGGATCTTTATGGTCCAAATGAGATCCAAAAGGTCATTGGTCCAGATATATTTCAACGGCTTATTCCATTATCAGTCCATGAATCTGCATCTTTGTATTCTGAAGAGCAATCAAAAATGATACGTGGTGAAACTGAAAGATGTGATCTGGCAGATAGTGAATTAGATACTGCATTGGAATATATGAAACTGCCTGGTATTTTGGCTAAGTTCAAAGAAACTAATGACACCTCTAAATCAATAAATGAATTAGCAACACCTACTCCTGAAGTTAGACAATTGGCTAATACAATCCAAGAAGAAGAGCAACAAAAGGGTTCATTAAATGAGCTAATTATAACATTAAATGGATTGAAAACCCGATCTAAAGAATTGTTGAATGATATTAATGCTCTTTTGGAAAATGAAAAAAAAGAATATGAATCTCTGAAGGTGAAAATTATAACAAAATACTAATTGTAAAAATTTCTTAATAACAATAATAACAATATAATAAATCTCTATTTTGTAGTCCAAATATCATAATTCTTGGACACAACCAACTTCGTCATCTCTTAACAGTGTTTTTCATCAAGATTTATCAAATCATTGTGACACACTTGAAAAAGCTACAAATTCTGATAGACACTTGACTCAATTATATGATCATATAAAAAATGATATAAAAATTTTGAGCAATGGAGAAAATGATGAAGAACTAGAAAAATTATTTGCGGAAACAATTGCATCTATTGTTGGTAGCAATAATATTGCAAAAATGAGTGAAGAATCAAAAACAGGCTCTGAAAATCCAAATTTTGAAGAACAAGTTTCTAATAAAGCACAAAAAATTGAAGAATATTTAAATAATCTTCAAAAGATCAAAAAAGAAAGAATGGAAACCTTAAAAGATTTAAAAGAAAAGGTTAGTTGACTATTTACTAATAAACAAATTATTGTATAATATATATGTATTTTTAATAAATTATTTATTGATTATAATATAATAGATACACCAAGATGATATATCACACATTCTTATTCTTAACAAGAAGAATCAAAACATCGAACCACAACTTTTTGCCACTGAGCTTGAAAAGTTTTCACCTTATAAAAATCGTATCACTGCCAGTATTCATCATCAACAAGCATTATTACAAGAGTTAACCTTACATTATAAAAGTTTAATGCAAGGTAACGAAGCAAAAACTTTACAAGGACAATGGGATCGCATTGAGCATCAAAGAAAAACTATTTCTGAAAAATTAAGAAAATCCAAAGATAATTATTTTGAAGTCAAAGAAGGACTTAGGTTGGTAGAATAAAGGAAAAAACGCCTATTTTATTGTACATTGTTGAATTATTAATTAATTTGATTACTTTTTTCATCAATTCATAGAAAAGGAATTCAATTTTACGTTGATTTGTTAGATTTAATCAATACTTTACACAAAAGTGTACAACAATTTTCTGATTCTCGTCAAAAGGAGCGTAATGATCTAATTCAATCTATTCAAAAACAGGATCAACAAAGATTAAAAGAACAATTAGAAATATTGAGTAATGCTACAAATAGTTCAAAAGTTGGTTCATATGATTCTTTGGAACAAAGATTGGTTGAAGAAACTAGTAAAATGTCTCTCAATACAACTAATGTGCTAAAGGACAATATTTACAATAGTCCACCACCATTATTACAGCAGCAACAGCAACAGCAAAATAGTGGTTATGGATTACACCAATCCATTCCACAACAAATAAGTACACAATTTCAATATCAACAACCACCTCAAAAAACCTTTTCAAGGCCTACAAGTTTGTATGGTTCTACTTCTCAGCCATTACAACAAACACCACAACAGCAACCATCACAAAAAACCTTTTCAAGACCTACAAGTTTGTATGGTTCTACTTCTCAACCATTGCAAACACCACAACAACAAACTCAATCACAACAATTATCACAAGTGCCTCAACTACAACAGGCTCCACAAGTGCCTCAACTACCAATATATGCTCCATTAAATTATGGCCTTAATCAATCTCAATCACCTCAAAAACCACAACTTCAACAACAGCAATTACAACAACTACATTTACAGCAGCAGCAGCAGCAACAATTGCAACAGCAGCAGCAGCAGCAGCTACAACAACAGCAATTAAAACAACAGCAGCTGCAACAGCAGCAGCTACAACAACAACAATTACAACAGCAACAATTGCAACTACAACAATTACAACAGCAACAGCTGCAACAACAAAAATTACAACAGTTGCAACAAATCACAAAACAAGCTAATATAATAAGTTTGCCACACTATCCTACACCATCTGTTATACTTCCTCAACAACATCAAACAAATATTTTGCAACCTCAAGGATTTAATCAACCTTTGCAAAACTCAAATATACAACAGCAGCAACAAAATTATTATCAAACTACATCTATTCCATCTCCACAAGTCACCAACCAATATTATCAAAATACTGTTCCATTTAATAATAATAATAATAATACATATCAACAAATACAATTAAATCATCAAACTTCATCAGTTTTACCTACAATTCCTCCTCAAAACTTTACTAATGATTATCAACAACCACAACAACCAATGCCATCAAAAAATTATGATAAATCATTATTAGATTAAATTGATTGATTATTTATTTACTTATTTTTATTGAGTAATTATAATATTATCATTAAAAAAAATGTTATAATCTTTTGTCATATATATATTCTTTTTAACTATTTTATTTTTATGTATAACTGATATAAATTTTATTATGGATTGTGTATGTTATTTACAATAATAAAATCATTATTATTTATAAGAAATGATTGCTATGTTTATAAATTTTTAATATAAAAAGAACAATTAGTTTGATAAAATTAGAATTTATAATAATTAAATAAGTTAATATATATCAGCCAATAGACTATTGAAAATAGGTAGCTGTCATAATTTTTCATCATGAAACAGACAAATGCCTTAATCATCATTTACACATCAAATAAAAAGAAATAAATTTACAATAATTACCTTTTCTCAGGTTTCCCAGGATAGATTTGTGATTCAGATTATGGACTACTTTGAAGGATTGTATGTGCTTTTTTATCAATTTTGTTAAAAAGGAGCCGTGGGATAATAATTGATTTTTTTGTCATAACATATTAACGGAATCAGAGCTCTTGTTTTAAAAAAGTTTCATTGGGGTTTTAGTGTAGTTGATTTTAAATAGATTTTGGTTTGTAAAAAAAAAAAAAAAAAAAAAAAAAAAAAAAAATTCTCATCTTTGTGTATCATATTTTTTAAAAATTATTAAAAATTGCTCATTTTAAATATTGACGTTTATTACTATGTATAAAAGAAAATAAAGAAAATAATATTAACATTAATTGATTTGGGTTTATTTTTTGTTTTATTTTTGGAAAATGTATTATAATTTTTTTAATAAAATTACTTCTAAAATAATTCACAAAACATTGTTGATGAAATGCCATTTGATTCTAAATTCATGTACGTAAAAGTTCGTGTTTTGCTGGGTTTAATTGATTTATTTATCAATATTTAACCTCATAAAAAATATACAAGTTTTCCCCCGCGTTTACCAAATATAAGTATATTTTTATTCTATTTATCATATTTATCTAATAATAAGAAATATAAATAAATAATAAATATATTAACAATTATTATAGAACTACTTTTGAAATTCTTTTGACATCCATGTATATAATATTGTATTAATGTCACATGTAATGAATAAAATGAAGTAATAGTCATAACCCCACTACATGAAATAGTAAATGATCTTTCCCCAAATTTTTATAATATAGAGACAATTTTTTTAATATTAAAATTAAATTTTATTTATTGGAAGGAAGAGGAACATTTAAAGGATATTCTTCATAGATGACTGCTTTTTGTATTGGATTAAACTGCTTTTTGTTCCATATGATTTATATGATTTATTGCAAATATCTGAATGGTTTTTATTATCATCATTGTTGTTGTCATTACTGTTATTGCTATTATTATTATTGCTGTTCCAGAAGGTAGTGTTTTCATAACTGTTGAAATTACAAATTCCACAAGGTCTAAAATTGCTTTTAATAAAATGTCAACGGAATTTTTGATCTTTTCTGATCTAGACTTAGAATATACGAAGGCGTATATGTGCAAAATTGAGTACACTTTCAATTAATGATTGAAATTAAATGCTTACTACTGGTTAGTTCTAAACCACCATTTAATAATGATTGTTGCGATCAAAGAGGATGAACAAGAAGGTATAATATTATGTACTAGATTTCTTTAAAATTTTTGGTAATCGATTATAAATAATGATAGAAGTTAAAATTTAAAGATGTGAGACGATTCACCATAGAAAAGTGGAATCCAACTCCTGATTATTTCTAAATAATTTACTTTGATAAAAAAAATCCAAGATATCAGCCTGTAATTAAAATCAATAGTGAAAGTATTTCGTATTAAAATATATTCAATAAAGTTCTGCCCTTAACCTATCGAATGGAAATATTTCTATATGAATTAATGCCATCATGATTAATTTGATTTTTCCAGTTTTTTTTGCAACACACTGTATATTTGTGATTTGATAGGTGAAAAACTAAAGACAATATCATGTAAAATTTTGTTGCATAATTAAAATCTATTGACTTTCTCCAAAAATAAATGTCCTTTAATTGTATGAAAACTACAATAGATAAAGAATAATGAATGGTGTAATAAGCGTATTAATAAATGATCTAGCATTCTCGATTGAAAATTTCAATGGTTTTATAAATTTCGTCTACAAAACCACACGCATCACTATTGATATATTGCTATGTGTTATGAAAGAGAGTCAAGTGTATAAAAATAAATAAAAGGTTATGTGAAATAAATTTTTTTAATGTAAATTTTGTCGAATTTTTTGATTTCTCTTCACTTTAATTTGTGTTGTTTATTTATGTCTTTTTTTGACTGTAAGAGATTCTTTAATTAGTATGCCTAAGTTAGTCTAAATTTCCTATTAGTAAAGAATACTTATCAAAGGTAAGCGGGTTAATAACTTTGAAATGATTACAAATTATGTTTCAATGATTGCTTGGTCTGGTGGAGATAACGGTCAAGTATGCTGGTAATAACTAATAATAACTATTTATTTTCAATAGGTTCATCATATGAAATATTCATTTTCAAACATCAATCGTTGGTTTATTATTACTATTACTATTATTTCTTAAAAAAATTGTTCATACTCATAAATTTGTATTCGTGTAAGTAAGCTTGCATTAAACTTCCCCATCTCTAGAGATATCTTTTATTGAAAGCGATGATGATACATTCGGACACGCTTATATGAGTTGTGAAGAAAAATATTTGTTACGACAATCAGATTACAGTGCAGAATGATTTGTAGTTCTTTAATGATAATGTAAACTCCATAAGTTATTAATATTAACAAAGGTTATATTCATCACATTCATCGTCATTTCTTTTTTCACCACCAATATTAATGTTTTATGATGATCTAAACTGGCTTATGTTAAAAGTAAGCATACAGATAATGTGAATTTAATTCCTTTTGAGTTGTCTTTATTTTATACAATAGAGTAGTATTTTAACCCTTGGGAAAGTCTCTCTCTAGCTGGGATACTTCCGAGGACAAACAACCAGAAATGATACACTCCTTGATTTTTAAACATGAAATCATTCTAAATGACATTGATTCTTATCTTGACATTAAGTTTTGTGAAATGTAATATTCAGACCTACTATTTTTTATAAAAATATAATAATAATATTTATATGTAACTCAAATTTGTACAACCAAGAAAATTTAATAAAAAAATTTCATCAGAAAATATATATTATATAAATATTATATTTATTTAAAACTTTTTGATCAATGGATCCAAGTTTATATCATAATCAGCAGCAGCAGCAGCAGCAGCAGCAGCAGCAGCAGCAGCAGCAGCAGCAGCAACAACAACAACAACAACAACAGCAGCAGCAGCAGCAGCAGCAACAACAAACCCCCCAACAAAATCGTGTTGTTCCTTATAACTTTATAGGAACTCCTCAGACTGGATCAACAAATGTAATAGGAACTGGTATTTATCCTCAACAATATTTAACCTCAACTTATCCAAATAATGCATCATATTTACAAACTAGTAACAGTAATATGAATCCTATGATGTCAATTACAGGAACTAGATCTGTTTATCCAGTACCTGTTGCATCTCTAGCATCAATAACAGGAAATGGTATGCCTGCTGCAAAACGTGTTGCACTTGCTCCTACAACAACAACACAACCTATTCAAAACATCTATCCTAATTTAGCTCAAAATCAACTCCAATTAGCTCAAAATCAACTTTATGGTAGTAGTGGTAATAGTACTTTCTCTAATCAATTGATAAATACTGTAAGAACCGCAAACACTGTACCAACTCAAACCTACTTAGGCACAGATGGCTCAAGTATTGATGGTAAGACAGTCGGATCATTGCAACCTAATTATGTTTCTTCAATGCAAAATATAAACAAGTATTATGAACAATTACAAAAACAACAACTACAACAAAAACTTAACCCAATTGCCAATAATTATAATTTAATAAATAATTCACATCCTGCTGCTCAACAGATAAACCATACTATTCAAAATCCAGCTCAATCATTTGAAAATCAAATGGATTGGTTAGAATTAACTAACGATGAAGATATTGTTTATGATGATCTTAGTTACAATACTGAGTTTTCTAGCACTAGTAATATAGAAGGAAATATATCAGATTGGGCTCATGGTTCTTTATTACAAAAAAATATTAACTATTCAAATCAAAATCTTTCTTCAAAATCTTCATGTCCACTAATTAGTCCAAATAGTCACCAAAAAAATAATTCACAACAACAAGAATCACAGCAACAGCAACAAAAGCAACAAAATGACAAAGATCAATCACCACTACAATCACAACAAGATCAACAAAAATTAGATCAAGATCAAGAATTGGTTTCACAACCAGTTCAATCTACATTACAATCAGTCCAACAATCTCCACAACAACAACAAAAACAGCCAAAAATAAAAGATAACAATAATTTAGAATATAACTATCCTAATATACTTTCTGCTCCATCAAAGAATGCTATTACTAATAATAATAATAATATTGGTGGTGACAGTAATAATAGTGGTAGCATTGCACAAAATTTATCTCCAAAAAATATTCAAAATTTGGTTCAAACATCATCCAGTAGTGTTGGAGATGATGATGATAACAACAACAACAATAATGGTTCTTCTGTAAGTTCAAATTTTCAAAATAATTCTTATGATAATTCTGATTTTCTTGCCAATACAAAATTTAATCATTCTTTAAATGACATTAAACAACAGCAACAGCAACAGCAACATAATGACAATTCAAATCAACAATCTGCTACAATTGTACCAACCAATTTATTGAATATATCAAATGCACCACCACCAAAACTTCATTTACCAACTAATCAAGGAATAGCTGGTAGAAGAAACCGTCAGGTTAACAAACAATCTGAAAAAAATCCTTCTGTTGCTAATAATATATCACCAATACCTTCAGTCTCATCACAATTTCCTAATCAACCATCTTCAATGCCAACTACAAACCCTATTACCACTAATACCATTAAACCACCCAGATTAGTTTATGCACCAAAAACACGTAGAGTGGATAGTTATGGTGGTTTAGATTTAACAGTTTTTGAAAGGTTGCCATTGCCTTTAATTGTACCAATAATTCAAGATTTAGGTAATAATTATTTTCAAATAAGTTTTTTTCTGAAATATAATGTATATTTATTTATATTTATATATCATTTTTTGAATAGGCGCTGTTGATATTCATGCTCTTACAATGTCATTAAAATCAGGAATGAAATTGGAAGTTACAAATGCACTTAACACATTAACAACAATTTCAAGTCACAAAAGTGCATTAGTAGATTTGAGTAGATGTGGTGAACTGGTTGATGTATTGATTGATATAATAATGGAATATTTTAATTGTGTATCAATCAATTATTATTCTGATAAAGCTAGATATGAAATTTCATTACCAAACAGTAAATTTTTAACATATGTAGAGTTATTTCAACAATCAAAAAGGGAATACGAAGAGTTTTCAGATGTTGAACTTGAACAATTTTCTATTTCAGAAGGATGGTTACCATTACATGAACAGTGTTGGTGTGCATTGAATATAATTAGAAACTTTTCTTTTACACATGATAATCATAAGTATTTGGCACATCATCCAAGAATGTTGGAAACATTTATGAAAATTTTATACCTTGGATTGGTTGATAATGATAATTATGATAATGGCCATGGTGATGGTAATAATAGTAAGGAAGAAGATGATAATAACAAAGACAATGATGATGACAATGATAAACAAAAATTTGATTTAACAATACCAAGTAAATCTTCAAAAACTGATTTACATAATAAAAAAAGATATGCAAGGAAAAAAGCTTATGATATATTAGAATATCGTAAAAGTGTTCTAATAATTTTATCAAATATTGCAGGATATGTTCTGATACCTTCAATACCAGTAGCAAGTGAACTTTTATTGATAATTTCAGATTTTCTAAATAATTCAGATGATTATTATGCACAGATAGCATTAGAAGTTTTATCCAAATTGACAGTCTCATATGAAAATAGACAGAAATTTGGTGAATGTGATGAAGATACATTGAAATCAATTTTTGAAAAACTTGTAAGATTGTTGCCAAAAGCTGAAAGTAATATTTTTGGTGGTGGCAATATTAGTAGCAGTAATAGTTCTTATAATAATAATTATTATAATAGCAATATTATAACTCATACATCATCAATTCAAGAATTACCATTCTTAGCTACCTTGATAATGTCATTTTTTAATTTTGCAAGTTTGAGTAATGAAACTATGAAAAAAAGAATTATAACCACACCAGGATTTATAAATCGAATGCTTAAGATGACATTGGTATTGGCAAGTGTTAGAAATATTAGAACAGGTGTTAACGAAGTAGATTGTGTTATGTTAGCTAGAAGATCAATGGAAATGCTCAAAGTGTTGGCTAAAGGAAATAAAGAAAGTTTTCTTGTATATAATGAACAGTTATTAAATGCTTTATTAACTCCATATATTGATCCTGTTGTAGTAAAAGATCTAGAGGGTATTGTTATTTATCATGTCGATATATAAATATTATTACATGAAAAAATTTACATTCATTTTTTGAATGAAAATATAATAGATATATATATATATTATTTAATTATATAGTAAAAAAGCTTTAAAAAAATTAGTTAATTTTTGCCACTTGAGAATTCCAAATATATCGAATTTTTTAATAAAAAAGTTTAGATCATTTATTGCTTTCTTTTCATATCATTTTTTTGTAATAATAGTAAATAGTGGCAAATAAAAATAAAATAAATGTTATTATTACCCCTGTAAACTCACTGCGCATTTAACAATAGAGATTGGTGACCGCAGATGGGTTGAATACCCATGTTGGATGTTAATTATGACAAGATCTATTATTTTATTTCTGTAGTTGGTAATAATGAACAGATAATTGTTTAAATGACAATTTCACCAGAAACTACAGGTGTATATCAATAGTAATAGTGGCATAACAATCAGCATTCATTTCCAATTTTAATTCGTGGTACTTTTAATAATGAGTAATCTGCAGTGGGTAATTTCTAAAAAAATTAAACCAAAAGTAAAATTTAATTTCAATCATTCCTCATTTACATTATGAAAGCAGAAACTCTAAACAAAATCAAAAGGTATATATTATATAAATCTAAATAAATATTTTTCTTATCTGAGCTTATTTCCCTATGAAAACTTGTGTAGAAATTCATTCCCAAAGCGGGTGCAGTGTTGAACAATGTACCTTCCATATCAATTGAAATGTACAAAACGAAAAACGTCATATAATGATACCTGAGAATGAAGATAAGGCAGTTAAAAAAAAATGAATAAGGTACAATTCACACTCTGTAACGGATCTTTCTATGATAATAACGGACTGAAAATTTAGGCCTAATTTATATGTCCATATTAATATATAAATTGTTATTGTCTATAACGGATTCTCTCTACAGTTCACTCTCTTTATGATGGATCCTTCTATAACGAATCTTGTTCTATAATGGACTGAGAATTTAAGCCCAATTTATATCATATATAAATTATTATAACAATCATTTTTTCCTAAGCCAAATGGGAGGGTGGGTGAACTGTAAATAGGAAAAAAATCAATATAATAAATATTTTCTAAATTTTTAGAATGAATTACTTTGAACTGGGTTGAGCTCTTTGTGAAAGAGAAATTTTGGGAAACGTGGTGGAAGTAAATGCATGTCTGAGCAAGTAAATCAACTTCTAAAAGCCTATTTTTTGTCAAGAAATCTGGGTAAGAAGAATAAATTCACTGCTGAAACAATGCTTGCAAATCTAAAACAAAGAGTAGAAGAAGGTGGGTTATATGCAAATGAGTTACCAAAAATAAAAATTGGACGACATGCTTTATAATAGAGAATATAAAAAAAAATCAACTGAGGACATTATATCATAAAAAAATGCGAACCATTATTTTGTAAATTCCATATTATGCGTAATAGTAATAGTAATAATCCTCAATCAAGATTGAAAGAGTGTAAAAACGGCTTGGACAAAAAAAAAATTTTTTCGATAAAAATTTTCAGTACTAAATGTTTCATTTCACGCGATCGACATACAGAGTTGTTAGTCGAGCTCCTAACCGAAAATCAAATTTTTTACGAATATTCGAAAATCAAATTATTCAAGGATATTTGAATATTAATAATATTAATATATATAATTTATTTCGTAATTATTTTTGGATACTTGGATACTCGTGATTATTTTGGATACTTGTAATACGAACATATCATGTGATTTATGATGATTTTTATTGGTTGATCATAGAGCTCCGAACGAGTCGGGTCGGGTCGGGTCAGAGGTTCAACCCGACCCGACTCGAACTTTTAAACAGTTGACC